CGCGCGGGACACTCACACATGGCCAACGGCAGTTTGAGTCCCGGACCTGGTGGCTTGCTTTCTCACTTTCCTTTTCTCTGTGTGTCTTTCTCTGCTCAAATGAAAATGAATGAATGAATGAATAAATCAAAATTTTTTTAGAAAAAAAGAAAAAAAAAAGTGCCAACTTGGCCCAGAAAAGAATTCCTGCAGCCCTGGCCCCAACCTTTCTTAGAGCAGAGTGAAGCCAATTTCTTGAGCCTAGGAATGCACTTCTGACCCCAAAGCACCATACAAGCTGACCATCTGGAAAAAGCAAGCCTTGACTTCAGAGACCTGAGAAGACTACAGCCCTGCTTTACTAAATCCAGAAGCTGACTAATCTACGCACGGCAGAAGCTTGAGGAGTCAACTATCTAGCAAAATAAATCTATAATGTACTTCTCTTTTGTCCTTGTAATAGTTTTGTTGTTAGAATGCAGTTATCTTTTGGCGGACCAGCAGTTAGCATAATGGCTATGTTGCTGGACTCCCATCTAGTTGACTGCGGTTCGAGTCCCGGACCCGGTGGCTTAAACTCACGCCAGGCGTGTGTGCATGCATGCCCAAGATCCTGAGAGGAGAATGGAGAAGAAGGGATTGCGGCATGGCCATCCTCCCTGGGGGGTGATTTCTCGCTTTCTGTCTCTGTCTCTTTTTCTGGGGAGCGCACATGTCCTATAGCAAAAACCTCTCCAGAAAAAAGAGAATGCACTGCTATCTTTTGTCATTGCTTTTTGCAGTCCTAGTCCTTGTAGGACTAGCAGTGGGACTAACTGAAGTTGCCCCTGCTGACTGGAGTTGGCGAAAGGGTTTTAGTAGTGTTCATGTTTCTTCTGTGGGTAAGATGTTTTGTTATTTTTGGGTGCTTCTAATCTAGGCCTGCGGGTATTTATTTCATCCTGTGAACCATCCATCCATACCACCTGACAAGGACAAAGTATTACCAAGACCTCACTTTACCATATCCATTTCTCTTGTCCAAAAAACATCTCAGGGACGGAATCAGGTTTGCAGGAGGCAGCAACCAGGCTGGTGCCGGAACCATGTTTTGAAACCAGTATGACAATGATGTCATTGTTTGGAGCCCTCAGGGCAGGATTCATCAAATTAAATATGCTATGGAAGCTGTTAAACAGGGTTCAGCCACAGTTGGTCTGAAATCAAAGCACATGTGGTTTGAAATCAAAGATCCATGCAGTATTGGTTGCATTGAAGAGAGCACAGTCAGAGCTTGCAGCTCATCAGAAACAAATTCTCCATGTTGACAACCACATTGGTATCTCAGCTGTGGGGCTTACTGCGGATGCTAGACTGTTAGGTAATTTTATGCGCCTTATGCGCCAAGAGTGTTTAGATTCCGGATTTGTATTTGATAGAGCACTTCCTGTATCTCAGCTTGTGTCACTAATTGGGAGCAAAACCCAAGTACCAACACAAGGCTATGGCCGGAGACTGTGTGGTGTTGGGTTGCTCATTGCTGGTTATGATGATATGGGCCCTCACACTTTCCAAACTTGTCCATCTACTATTTTGACTACAGAGCTATGTCCATTGGAGCCCGTTCTCAGTCAGCTCGTACTTACTTGGAGAGACGTATGTCTGAGTTTATTAACTGAATTAACTGGTCAAACATGGTCTGTGTGCCTTCAGAAAGACCCTTCCTGCAGAGTAGGACCTAACAAAGATCGTTTCCATTGGAATTGTTGGTAGAGACTTGGAGTTTACAATCAGTGATGACGATGATGTGTCTCCATTCCTAGAGGGCCTTGAAGAATACAGAGAAAAGCTCAGCCTGCCCAACCTGCTGATGAACCTGCAGAAAAGGCTGATGAAACAATGGAACATTAAGTGATCAACCTGTCTGTGTGTGTATTATCAAACATGTAAGAAAGCAAGAACACATGGTTACAATGATGACGACAATAATCTCTACTTCAAACCAGAAGATATAGAGTGCTAGAGTAGTATGTTGTAGGAATCAGTTGAGATGTGGGTTTTTTCCAAGCATCTCACCATGGAGATATAATTGAGAGCATTTTTCTTTAAAAGGGTCTATATAATCATTGTCTAGAAAGTATAGCTATCTGTACTAATATTTTTATATGAAGAAAATAGTGTCTTTACAATTTTAATGACAACTGAAATAAAAATGCTGGTAAAAATGAAATAATGCTGGTAAAAAAACATCTCAGGGACCAATGAGCTCAGTGGTTTTAATGTGTGTGTGATTATAAGTTATAATCCTGTGGCTGTCATAAATTGTAGAAATCTTCCGTGGGAATGGGAATATGGGCTCAATGGTAAGTACATTTGTAAACAGGCCTCACCCCAATCTGTGTTATAAAGACCATTGGGCCAACTGGCCTTCCTAGAGCTAAGCCTGTCTCTGACCTTGTTGACAGCCACATATATACTAAGGTTAAGATGATGCTCTTTGTCCCTAATAGGGTCCAAGCATCAAAAGGGGAGATATAGTAGGGGACCTCCAGGACCAAGAAAGATAACGGGCATATTTAGAACTTAAAAACACATTCAGGGAAACCATCTCCGCTATAGAAGAGGACCAGGAGCTAGAGAGGAAGGCAATAGAGGAACTGCTTAAGGAGGTGAAACGTGGGAAAACTAGAGCAGAAACCATGGGACCTATGGGCTGGGTGAAGTGTCCTCTTGCTGAGATGAATAAAAGATTTCTGATTAACACAATTAAGAACACATTGCCCTCCCGTAAGGATCAAGACCAAGAACAAAAAGAGGGCAGTAAGGAGCCTGCGAAAAGTCAGGACCAGAAAGAAGAAAGCCTTACGAAGCACAGAAGCCATCCTTACAAGCACAGCAGCTGCTCTCGCGGCTCCTCTCCACCCAGGAAGCGGAGCACCCAGGACAAGTACGAACAGCGTCCCAGCCGGCAGCGGTGAGACGGGCACCCAGGAGCGGGTGGGCCAGCCTGGGCACAGCCAGCTAGGCTGGTGTAGCTGGCAGGGCAGACACCTGAGAGTGATTTATACCATAGGTTCTTTATCGTTTCTTTTGATGTGGCGCCTGTTGGAGGAAGCAAGTCCAAAGGAACTTGCTGTAAAGGTGTCTCGGCAAGTTTGAGCCGCTTCAGCAGTGCAGTGTACACGTATATCGTTTGTACTCTATCTTGTTTGGAAGTTAGTTTCAGAATAAGTAAATCTAGAGTTTAAAATTTTCAGAGATTGTTAAAACTAGTTCCGATTCCTTTGGTTGTTTCTCAGATTTTCTCAAAAATACTTGTAAATCTTTAAAAACAAAACAAACAAAAAAGAATGCACACACAAGTGCAGAGCCTGGGGACCAGCAGTTAGCGTAATGGCTATGTCGCTGGACTCCCGCGTAGTCAACCGCGGTTCGAGGCTCGGA